GGGAAAAGCCTTCATCTGAACAAAAGCCTGGCTGAAAGGTACGGTGTTTCTCAGAGCTCTGAAATGCACAAACTGTTGCTTTCTCTTTTGGCTTTTCAGCGCTCTGTTTTGTTGTTTAACGGACAGTCTGTTCTAGCTGCTGTTATTGCTTCGAAGTACTGCCCCTCCGCTGGTTGGGGGGGGTTGTAAATGACTTCATTAGCATTTATTTAGATGGCTGCCTTAGGAAGCAGCCTTGATTGATGGGCTTATTATCTGGACTTTCCAAATGACTCTGTGCCTGTACTTATCTCCGTTATTCCATTCAGTTTTAAGCAACTGTGACTTTTTGGGGTGTGTGTTGGGGCTGGTTTTAATCTTCAGGACACTCTTCAAACCTTCATTCTCACAAAGCTGGAGCGGGGTGAAGGTTGTTGCCGCTTTGGCCTTTTATAAGTTGGGGGAATGGAAGCGGAGAGGCGAAAGGTTTTACCCCAAATCAAGCGCGGCATCCCAGCTGGAACTGGGATCAGAACAGAGGAGATCCTGGGTCAATCCTCAGCATTCGGGCTGAGTTCTGGGCTTTGTGCTTTGTAGTTAGGAAACACAAAGGTAACGGATACGGGCGTGGGGGGATCAACTCCCATCTACCATGAGTTTTGGTACTGGAAATAACGTCCCTGTTTCACACGTAGGTCTTGGTGGGGACCCAAGGGGATGTTAAGAGAGCACAGACATCGCAATGCTCACGCAGGAGTCACGCAGGAAGCGATGGGTATAATGAGTGGTGGCTCTCCTGGTGGCTGAGGGACTTGGAGAGGACATCAGCAGTCAGATGGTGAAGTTGGAAAGCCCTGGAGCTGGTGAGGGGTGCGTGTGAGCTGACACTGACTCTCCTAAAATTTCGTGGTTTATTTCTGTTGAATGTCTGCCTTTCTCTGCTCCTGGAGGTGTCTGCATTGTCATGAAGGATGAAGCAAATTCCACAAAAGCAGTCTGATTCTGCAAAATACCGCACAAAACTGGCAAAACACTGGCTAACCTTGATTTTGGTGGAGAACGGGGTTATCAGCTGTTTAGCACTTTGCAGGTCTGAAGCCCGTGTGGGGTGTTGGATATAAAAGATGCCGTGAAAAAAATAAAACAATACTTTGTATTTGCAAAGATTTAATGATCACAGTAACTGATGTGACTGTTAGCAGGAATTAGTGCAGAATTCATACCTACAGAGGAAAAGAGGAGAAGGCAAGTGGCTAACAGACACCTTACATTCAGCACATGGAGCACAGATAGTTTCACAGGGATAAGGACAGCTGAAAATTCTCACTCTTTCCTGTCGCTGGATCAGATTCCTTCGGTAGAAAAAGGGCAGGCTGCCCCGGGAAATATCTCAGTAGGCCTAGGCCCCCTCTGACATCAGGTCAAATATTCCGGGTCACATAGCTGAAGGCCACGTGGTGAAACTCAATATTACAATGGATCGAGTGCTCCTGCCACATGGAGCTAACGTGCCGCTGCGCTCGCGGAGGTGGCGGGCTCAGCAGATGCTCAGGGAGGGCCGAGGCTTCAGGCAGAACCGTGGCTGGGCTGGGCTGGGCTGGAAGGGCAGCAGGGAAATACTGCTGTGCTTTGGGGGACAGTTTGCTCTGCCCTACACGGAGCTTGAAAAACTGGGAGTCTTGAGGTTCCCCAAAAGAGCAAGCGGTACTTTCCTCTTGTTCAATGCCAAAGTCTGAAGTTAAAGCCTCTTAAACGTCTAGGTCCAGGGAGGGAAAAATTAACTATTGTACATAGTCAGATGAGGCTGATGGGAGTTTCAGTGCAGAGACTGATCCTGCACTGAGCATGTGAAGTGGCTTGTCCCCTCTTCCAGAAAAAAACCCGGTGAATTGCCTCCGTTTTCAAAGCTCAAATCACTTTAATTTAATCGGCAGCAGATATCAAAGCAAGCCCTAGTTTCCATCACTTTTTTAAAGTAAAAAACGTCTTCCCCTCTAACATCTGGGAAAGGTGAAGTTGTTGCCAAGCCCTGAGCTGTCGTAATTTGCTTTCTGAATGTTTCAAGTCCCAGCGGTGAGGTTTTGTTCTTTTGTTGCGGTTGTTGCCATCCCCTGCCAGCAGCGCAGGAGCGTGGCTGATGGCAAGGCCTCCCGCGTTCTGCAGCAGTGGCACACAATGTTTTACAAACTTATTCCCGGCCCGCAGCCCAAAGCACGTTGCAGGCTGAACTCTTTAACATCTTGAAAGCTCGAAGCAACGTGGAAAAGTAAGATAGAACAGTGAAACCCAAAGCTATTTTTACTGCGGAATCGCGAGTTCACCTAATAAAATGCTCAGAATTCCTAGAACTCTGAAGACGTTCTGAAACTTTATTGCCACTTAGGATTGCCTCTGATTTTTTCTTTCTTTTTTTTTTTTTTATGAATAAAATTCAGATCTTCAGGATGATATGGTAGGTGTCGGCTGTATCGATGTGTGTTATTTTGCAGAGATGGGTGGTGGTGGAAAGTGCTGGACGTGAACAGACGGCCTGCAGCAACGTGCTGCCATGGCACGGGCAGTTTCCATGGTCTCCTTTTCAGTCTCCTTCTCCTACTCCTCAGATTTCTTTCTGAAGCTCCCTGTTCAGGGGTGTCTGTGTCCATTCGGTTCTTTTCCCTCCGCTGAAACTGCAGAAAAGCTCTGCAGTTATTCCTGCTGGAAGTCTCGGGGCTTTGACCAATTCTTGTCTATGTGTCACCAAGCTGCCTTGCAGTGAGAGTGATTTAATTACTATTATGCGCCAGTATCTTGTAAACTTGTTTCTTTTGGAAGCCTTTCCCAATCCCCAAGAACATTATTTCCATGCCTTTATTTCTCTTGGATGGGATCTCACATTGCAACTGCTCTGGGTTAATGCTTGCAGAAGTCGGAGCTGCTGGCGTGGCTGGGAGCACTCCCCATTGATCCCCTTCCAGTAACTCCCAGTGACTCGGTGTCCTGCGGGCTGGGGCTGAGCTCTGCCCTCGCTTCAGCCCGCTTGTGTTAGCATCCCCTTCATTTCTCTTTCTGCAATCAAGTAGAGCACAATCGCAGAGGTAAAGGGTGACGTCCGTCCGTCTAAAAAAATTACAAATTATTCCTAACAAAAAGATTCAGACCCGTAAAGGAACGGGCACATTCTGACCTCCCTGCTTCTGCTGCTGCTCAGAGCTGCTCTCCTCCAACACTCGAAGCCTGCTGTTCTGGACGTGACAAGTTTTTCATCTGGGCATGACAGAAGGTGCTGAGCTGGAAAGGCACAGACCAGGGGCATGTATCTGCCCTGGCAGGACCAGAGTTCAAGGCAGAACTGCCTTTTTCATCTTTTTTTTTTTTTTTTTTTTTTTTCATCTTTCAAATGCATCTAGTGGTGAGATGATAAATAATCAAAGGAAAACCCAAGCTTATCTTGAGACTTGGAATCGTGCTCTCCAGGAAGTGCAGCAGGGCCATGCTTCTTTATTCTTAGCTTGGAGAATTTCCCTGGCTGTGGGATAATGAACATTTCCCTCAAATGGGGTTTGACAAACTGCAGAGGGACCTTCAGGGGACACCCAATTCACACCTCCCTGAGTTTCTTGTGTCTGCAGCACCGGCCAGGACCTCCCCTTTCTGTGGGGGCTTTCAGGGGCTTCCTGTAGGCTTCCACGTGCTCTCTGCTGTGCTCTCTTGCTGGCCTTTGTGCCCGAGGATCTGTCTGAAAGCAGTTCTTCCACTCAGGGCAGAACTTCAGCTGAGTTCTTCTTTTGAGCTGACACACAATGCCCACTCTCGCTTCAGGCAGCGAGGCTTTGGTCGGCTGGTGGGACTGTCCTGCTCTGGTCCCAGGGCCACCCGTGATACCCTGACAGCAAAACCTTGGGTGATGCAAAAATGTGGGTGATGCAAAACCTGAGGTTTACCCACCAAACCTCCGCTTTTCCTTCTGTTTTCTGCCGAGGAGCCCGGCTTCCCAAAACAGCTGATGGTGCATGAACGCGATTTGAGAGTGAGTGAGACCCCTGATCAAGTAAATGGGGAATTTTTTGCCCCAAATGACCGCTGGCTCTCGGGAGAGCTGTGCTCTGGCACGACTGACCCCATTTCAGCCCTTTGCTGGAGAGCCCCGTGATGTCCTCAGCAGACCCGCGGTGACAGCGGTGCCAAACGGCAAAATACCCTTGGGGACAGAGGTCGCTGTCAGTCTGAAAAAAGTGTTTTTATGGCAAGAAAATTAAAAAGAAAAGAAAAATCTCATGTCACAAATGATGCCTTGGGGTCACCCTTGTTATAAATCACTTCTTCACGTGTTCGCTGTCCCCTTTGCAGAGGGGAGCTGGGCTTTGCCATCGCCGTCTCGTCGCTGCTGCCGAGGACGTGCAGGGACTGGGACCCCGGCGGCTGCAGCCCCCCCCCCAAAAGCCGTACCCTCGCTGGCGCACGTCGGCAGTGGCGGCCGGGGGGGGAGGGTGAGAGCTGGGTTAAATCACGGCGAAGTAAGGCGTGCTGTTGCCTCAGCAACCCCCTCCCCAACAGCCGGAGCGCGGGGGCTGCCGGACCCCTGGGGCTCTCTGAGACTGAAAGTGATGGGCAGCGGGGAGCCCCTGCTGTGGTGTAGGTTTTGGGGAGGCTGATGTAAATCTGTGCAAGACAGAGTGGTATCGTGGATGTCCTGATACCATCCTGATACTCCCCAAAGAAACGATGTTATAGTCCTGTTTAAAAAAGGGGAAAGAAATGTGTCCCTATAAAAGCTGCAGCCAGAGCCCCTTGGCACCTTCATGCATCGCTGGGGGAAGGCAGTGGGGTATTTTGGGGAGCCAGGAACCCTCAGGTGTTGCTCCTGGTGCCGGAAGCTGCCCAATCCCCATTCTCCATGCTGTTTCGGAAAGAGGGGATTTTTACATCTGGAGCTGAAATTGCACAGCTTGACCCTGGGGGGGGGGATGGTGGGCAGCAGCTCAGGTGTGCGCTGGGTGCAGGTGAGCTCACTTTGCACGGCTGAGCCCCTGCAGCTGGGGGGGGAGCACAGTGTGTGCGCGCCAGAGCTTGGGGTGAGCGGAGTGGCTGTCCCTCCAGAGCAAGGTAAGGTTGAACAAGGCTTTTTCAGGATTTCCTTGCATGGTTTTGCATTTGTGGTGTGGTTTCTGTTGGTTGAGGAGGCCAAAAAATGGAAGGCAGGGAGCTCAGACCAGTGCTGGAGGAGAAAGGATGGTTTCTGGAGAAGGCTGGCATGGTCAGGGCAAGCCTTGGTTTGCTGCGTTGTGGTGGTAGAAGTTGGAGATAACTTAGTTGGAAGAGTAAGTCACAACAGGAGGAGCTGGTGGAGGTGAATATTGTGAATATTGGTACGTGAGGATCTGGAAGGGGTGACTGAAGTACTCCCTACAGGGAGTGCTGTGGAGAAGTTTTAAAGCTGGTTTTCTTTCCTTTTTTTTTTTTTTTTTTTTTTTTTTTTTTTTTTTTTTTTTCCCTATAGAAGTGCTGCCCCCTTGTAGAAAATGTGAGATCTTCAGCTTGTTCTCTGAAGCAGGATTATTTTCTCTCTCTTCTGCAGAGTTGCAATGAAACATGAAACTTGGGGATGTCGTGGCTTTCTGCTTCTGTTACAAATCCCTTCCGAAGTCGATGCGTTTATTGTGTGAAGTTGTTCGGAATTCCTAAAGGCCCCAACTCTGCAAAGCAAACTGCAGCCCTATACCCCTAGATGAATTCATTGTAGGACCAGGACCTGAGCTGGTTTGGGGATTCCTTTTATTTTACTCTTTTTCCAAGCAATCAGAAACACAAAGTGCTGATTTCCCTGTGTGGGGGTCAGCCAGGTGCAGGGGGCGATAGGAGGTTCCCCCGTTACCCAGCACATGTGGGGTGGCTGTGTTGTGTTCTGCCTTGCTGGGCTCTACCTGATGCTGGAGGCAATTTTCTGTGGGGCCGGCTCCCAGCCCGTTGTGCTTCTCCTCGCCTCCTGACAGCGTCTAGACGAGGGCAGATAGCGCTGCGGGTACTGCCCAGTCATGTTTCGGAGGCTGACTTGGCACCGACGTGGGCTAGGCATTAGAATTCCAAAAATGCAAGAACCGAAGTTTTGATTCCGATATAATCTCACGGCTCCAACATCTGGGGCCGCGGGCACTAGCACAACTGCTTTAACCTCGCCGTGTTCGTGCCAGACCAGATCGGTGACTGGGGAAGGTCAGAATTTAGGGTTTCACAACCTAAATCTGCCTTTTTTGTCCCTGAGCATTTAGGCTCTTCGCTTTCCTCCCCACGCTCTCCATAATCCTGATTGACGTGTGGTTCCCTCTGTTAAACCTCTTGAGAAACTGAAGTATTTGCTGTGTGATTTGCATTAGACAAGTATAGTCAGAGCTCGGGGAACAGCTTTGTGAGAACTTCCTCCGCACCTTGCTGAATTGATTCACTCACGAGTCAGCGAAGGCTTTGAGTCCTGCATCTGCTCTGGGTTTGCAAGGAGACAGCCAGACTGAAAAATGAAGCAATGGTTTATCTCCCTCTTATGGCCAGACTCAGAATGGCTGCACTGCACGCAGCTTTTTGGTAAGGAGCAGGGAGTCTCTGAAACCTGCAAGCTTTGGTGGTTGAGGTGTGGGGTTCACAAGGAATTAAGCTGCTCTCTCTCTAAGGAAGCTCATAAATTATGCTTTTCAATACAATGTAAAAAAGAAGTTGAACTGTGAAACAGTCAAACTGCTCCGGTTTCTTGTGGGTTTAAATCTGCAATTGGGGAAATTGGTATCTAGTTTAGCAAAAAGCTGGGGAATGGGATCCTCTTTGGCTGTGACTGTGCCCCATGTACTGTTAGAGAACTGGGCTGGTACTCACTGAGCTCTGCAATCATGGCACATGGTGGCACAGGAGCAGCATGGTCACAGTGAGTGCTGCTCTTGTGTTTCCTACTAACATGGTGAAAAGAGAATAAAATACTCTGTTAAATGTTCCCAATGTGATTTCTTGTCCTCCTGGCTCCCCTTCTTTCAGCTGAGATCAAAATAGTATATTGAAAATCTCTCTTCCAGGTGTGCTGGCTGTGTCCTGTTAAAAGCAGTGATGCTTGCCCTAAATGCAGAGAAGTGGAGCCAGGTGTGGTTGGGTTTGAGACACCTGAGCTATATTGAGATCAGTGTGGGTCCAGAATACTTTGGCAAGGAGCATCACATCATCACTAGCATCACTAACTGATGGTGTGGGATGTGTCTTTAACTGCTCATGTTAAATTAACGATGTAGTCCAGAGCCTGAACCAAATGAGCCTGCTTGAATTGAAGGCTGAGGGCAGGAGATCAGGAGCAGCCGTGCTATCAAGATTTCTGAAGTTGCTGCTTGTCCCTTCAGATGTGTTGACTGATACTGTGCAGGCCCCTCACATCTTGTAGCAGTGCTTCAGATGCTCAAGAGCCCACTTTGCACTTGCTAAAGGACTAGAAGTGCATGTGCCCCAAAAAATTGGGCTCAGGTGACACTGTGGTCCTGATGAGGTGGTCAGGAGCTGCAGCTCGCTCTGTTGGTAATTGCTTCAGGTTAAATTGAAAGAAGCTTCCATGAGGCTTAGTGCTGGCACTTTAAAATCAGTTCTCAAACTATTGTTTGGATCAGCTGCTGAGCTCAGCTATTGAAATGCACACCCTAAGGAGCTGCAGCGCTGCCCGTTGCTGTCAGTAGCGAGGTCTGGTTTGAGCAGAGGCATGTCTGCACAGTGCCTGAGCAGAACGATGGGGAGGGCTGTAGAAAAAGGTTGCACGGAGACTGCCTGTGCTCTAGGGAACAACTGGACTTATGTGAGGATAGCTTAGATTATGCACCTTCTATTGCAATGGAGCTGTTTGATGAAGTGCTAATTAACAAATATGATGTTTATGGTTTGTTTTGTGAAGGAAGATGAATGTCCAAAGGAAAGTTTCCCCTTGAACCAGTGATCATCCCCCCCATTCCTGGCATGTGAGACTGCACCACTTACTGACATGGCGTTGTCTCTGCTGCTGCCTGAAGGCAACTGCTCAGATGCCAGTATGTGACCAGCTGGGATTCAGACCACCCCCCCCCCTTTCCTAGGGTACTGTAAATGACAAGTTAACAATTTATAATCCTCCTTTCTTTTAGGAGAGAAGGGGCACAGGGCCAAATTAACCCTTAGCCTTCCCACTTCACTCCAGTGCAGCGTGTCTGGAGCGAGGCTCACCTGCTCTGCATGCTGCCATGGTCATCTGTTGCTACTGAGACCTCCTCCTACCAGCTGTACTGCTGTACAGGGTGGCCTGATGCCACTGTAGTCTTCTGAAAGATTAAAAACCTGAGCTATTTTCCTTTGGAAAAGCCAAAGGTTGATTGCTTCTCCCTTTTTTCCCCCTCCTACAATTAAAAAGCAAATGCCCTTTCATTGCTCATCCTTCTACTGCTGCAATGAGAGCAAGTCCATGGGCAAGGTCTGTACTTTGGCAGTTGGTGCGCATCTCAGGAACCATCAGCCAAAGTGCTGATCTTCCTGGCAGGAAGGAACACAGTCTGGTGCATCCAGAAGGCTTAAATTTTGAAAGGTTGGTTGATATCTTACCTACCTTAAAAAAAAAGGGTTAAAAAAGTGTGTTTAAACATTCCTCATATGATACAACTTTCCTAAACACTGTGGAAAGATGACTGTGTACAGGAATATTTTGGCTGTATAGAAAGAAGGTATTTGTAATTGCTGCTTTTTAGTTCACTCTTACTCATGGAATAGTTGTCACAGAACAGCTACACAGTGAGCATCTTAAGGAGCACCCATTATTTCTAGAACATTTGCATGAGAGGTTGCAAAAAATCATAACGTACCTATTAATCACTTAGAGCAAGAATCAGTTTTACTTCGAGAATGTGCTACAAATGCATTATTCATCACCTAATTGCAAGTGCTGAACTGTAGTTATGTTTTGTCTTGACTAAAACATGCTTTCCCTTCTTCTACTGCTCCCACCCATTTTAAGATCAGGATTTTTTTTTTTTAAACTTTGCTGTATTTAAATTGCATGGGATATATGGTAAATCCTTTAACAGCCAAGCCTTCTAAGCTACTTGGCTGCCCCTGATAAGCACAGGGGTGATAACTGTACAGTCATGCAATCCTTCTAGACAGGTTTGTGGTTTTCCCCCCACCTTTATAGGGCTTTCATACCTGGGTTCACTGATTCATAGTACATTCTGTCTGCTTCTAATTTTGAAGTCATAATTAGACACGAAATGGCATAATTAAAACCCTTAGTCTGGCCTGCGAGATGGGGATCTCAAGGTGATTCCATGATACGTCAGCTCTAACACATAACCCTTAAAACTTGTAGTTTATCACAGCTTACTGAAGTGTGTACTTATCTTTTGTTCTATTTTTTTTTTTTGTATATTGAGCCTGAAGTGCAGCATCCAATTCCTTCCCTGCTCTAGGATTTATTAAGCTATGTACCTCAACCACCTTCCTACATAACATAGGGATTCATACACTGTGTTCCTCAGTGACAGAGGCAGCCACTAGCTTCTTAGACTACTGGCTGAAAGGAAAAAAACAAAACAAAACAAAACAACAGGTCTAGACCATTGCCAGAGGTGCCTTGTTTTCACAAGGCTGAGCATGCCTACACCATCACTACTATCAGACTGAACTTACTCAGGACTTACACCTTGTAACTAATAGGGTGTCCACATAAGGTCATTTCAGTTACTGGATACTTGACTTTTCATAAGGAGAAGAATCCTAATGTGCATTTTACTTCATGATGACATCCACTATCAACACGGTGTTGTCAGAGCTGGATTCATTTATGAACTGTGTAGGGCTGCACTTCCTTAGGGTTCCAGCAATCAGGACTTGTGGATTTCATCCATTTTTTCCTTAAGAAAAAGCTCTCGAAAGCTGGAATTCTTTTTGAAGTTTTTTATTGCAAAAGGTATAGACATTTGCTGGCAGAATACTTGATCACATTATCTATTTGACTGTCATCCAGAGGACACTGCATGCACTCAAGCTGAAAGCACAGGGCAGTTTCCACTAGGCACCTGAGAAATTTCACGGGAAAGAAAAGTCTTTCAAGTTGAAAGAGACAAGTTTCAAACTGACCACCTGCTCTGGTGCCCTTTGTTTCCCAGAGTTACCTGGGAAATAAGAATTAAATCAGCTATAGTCATAGCTAACTGTAAACATTCTCCTGCAATGAAACAGAAATTATTGGGATAATTGATCCTGAAGTGTTTTTTCCAGTTTTAAACAGGAAATGTGTCTTTCTAGAGCAAACAGTGCAATGAGTTACACCTGACCTAGCACCTACTGCTTGCTACTGTATTACACAGCAGAGGTGTATGATGCTTCTTCACATTGGGCCTATAACAAAAAAATCTAACAACTCCTATGTGGCCTCCAAGAGGCGACCCCAATCCCCCAAACATCTTTTTTCTCTGCTCCCAAGTCTAATATCATCTCAACCCCCTTCCCTATTCCTTCCAAATAAGATCTAATTTCCTTTTTTATCCTGCCCCCCTGCCTGAAGGCATGACTAATAAGAATACATGCTGCTCCCTGTATTGCTGTTAACAGCAAAATTATCTTCATGATTCGGCTGTCCCTCCACACGCAGAACTCCAGGTCCATCTGAATTTCAATGCCTTCTGACAGGTCTGATAAAGGTGGATCATCTCTGGCAGATCCTATAACAAACGCAACAAGCAATCCACTGCCAGTCTAGCAGGATGTGTATTTTGCAAGTGCAGCTGCTTAATATCAGGAACTCACTGCAAGAAAGAAAAAGAGTTTAGGGGATGGTACCTTCAAGAGTAAATGCATTTGAAGAGAGAATGTATAAAACTAATTAACAGTAGCACCGAGCTGCAGGTCATAGTGGACTTTTAACTACTTGAACCAGACAAATGCAGAGATGTTTCAAGGCACTATGGCTGCAAGTCACAGATAACTCAGTAACTCGGGATGATATTACAGGCACTTTCATTTCTATCATAAAGTTAAAAATCCATGCTCGTTGCTGTAATCATTCCAAGCAGAACAGCAGCCACTGTGGGTTACTTACTGCTGTCTTAACTTTTTCCCCAATCTACAGTTGATTTATCTTCTTCCAGAAAGCACTGGTAATTAGAACAATTCACAACTAAAAACCATACTGCGTGAAAGAAGTTGGTTCACCAGCAAAGCTGCAGATTGAAGTTTCCCATCAGGATAGTGGTTCCTCAGTAATGTGCACACAGGCCTCGATATTCAAACCGACGCTATGATACAGGGCCTTAGCAGAGATGCACAGTCATTTGTGTTAAGACAGAGCAGCAATTATAGCCCCCTGAGGCCCCTTTAGTTATTTTAATCACAAAAGCCAGAATGAACTTGTTTGCAACAAAGGCACCCTCAGTCCTTTCAGCTGGAAAGATACAGGTTGCTCTATTTACACAACTCAGTTGGAAATGGAGTTATTCACTCCCAGATCCCTTAACCTCACTGAATATTTCAGTCACTAGCAAATCAACACTCCAGGGTAAGTTCTAAAGAAGAGCTATCTAAAAATTTCAGTGCTGAGGCACAATAACTTGTCACCACTCCACTTCCAGATGTATTTCAGTAAAAGATATATTTTTAATCCATTTGGAAGTGTTCTGAAAGCTGTCCAGCCAATTCCATGTCGATCGCTGCTCGATATGCTTTTACAGGAATAAAAGGCCTTTTGGCCCGATCCAAAACCAGCACTGGCAGAGTCCACAGTGTTCCTTGATAGCTGTTTTACATCATACCTATGTCTTCAGTCCTAATATATTTTTAGCAGACGTTTAAGTGGAAGCAGCTCAGATGACTGTCTGACACAGACAACGTGCTCATGATCAAAGTGTCCTCCCTGTTCAGCCAGGAAGAATACAGTGCCTTCTCTATCTTAGGTTACACAAACTACAGAGATGAGCTACGTGAAAGCTCTAAGTAGTAAGTGCAGAAATACAAGACCTTTAGGAGGCATCCTGAGATGGAGCAGGAGGATCCTTATTCTCGGGCTCCGGAGGAGGAGCTGGCACGCTTTCCTCTTTCTTTTGTGCAGCCAAAAATTCATGAATCGCCCTCTCTATCTGGGGCCTGAAGATGTGGTTTAGTTTTGGATCCACCACCTGAGAAATAATTCTGTCCACTCCAGCTTCCAGCATTCCTGACCTTGAACAAAGACAAAGGAGTCATTCAGTTCCTCTGAAAAACTTCTCCCCACTCTCCTCCAGTAATTCTCCAGAGCCCTCCTGTCAACTGCAATTAGCATTAACATGGTGAGAACTGCAGCCCACTCAGTAGATCCTTAACAGGGAGTTGTTTCAACCACCTATTTTCCCCCCTCACCCCTTCTCACTTCTCCCCACAGAATTAACAACTGACATCTGGTCTCTCAGGTACTTAAATGACACCTTGGACAGGAGCCACTTTAATAGGGCTCATGTGGAAATGAGGTCAACATGAAAGCAAACAAACACATTTTGGCACAAACAAGGGAAACAAGCTATTCTGAGGAAGGCAGGTGAGAGCAGTCTTTTTTTTGGCTGTCTTGAGGGAGAAGAGGCCTTCCCCCAATAACATTACTGTCACTCACTTCTTATAACTGTTAGTCTAGACAGCTGTGTATTAATTAAGGAAACAAGAACACGTAGCACACGGCAAAGTTTCTGGAACCAAGCAGCAGTAACTGAAGTGACTTATTGCTTCGAGGGCCGCGTCAGACTCTTGGATTGTGGGGCACAGGCAGTCTGGGCTTAAGTCATGTCTGTGAGGGACAGGAAACACCGACAGTGCCCGCTGCTTGGAAAAGCAGCCACAAGACTTAACAAGGCTGTGGATGCTGGTGGGTGACTGGGTGCGGGGTCACCACACATCACATCACCTCCCACTAACAGCACGTGTGTATCTGCATCCAGCAAAGGACAGCTACCCAGACATGCCTTGACAGCCTTCTGTGCTCGGTCTTGCACCCACAGGAGTGACAGGGACTCTCCAAACTCCCTTTTATTTTTTTATACTAGTAGCCTATCTAAAGCGAGCACTGTATGTTCTGCTAACTATGGGTTCTTTGATGTAACATTCTTCTATTGCCATTTCCCTCGTGGCTGATTATCATGAAATAAGAGGATGTGTGAAGTGATAGGCATGTCTCAAGGACTTTAAGTAAAGGTAGAAAGTTCTGTACTTTCAGTGGATACCCTCTTCTGTAATTACAGATTAAAAACTGAAACTAGCATTAGGTACTAATGATCTGCAGTTTCCATCAAGTGAAATACTGCTTCTGCGTGCAAGACATTCTAGTAACTCTTCTTGGAAGAATAAATGCCATTCTCAAGTTCACTACTGCCCCCTCCCCACAACACTGCTTATATCAGTGACTTTTAGTCAAACCAGTTAAGGCTCCTACTTCAGGCAATGATGAGTTAGCAGCAGGAGGTGCTAAACCTAGATCTCTAAGCAGTGAAGGTAATCTGGCTTTCCTGCTGTGCTGGAAGTACATCTTAAATAGCTGTTAAAAAGCTACGCTCTGCTGCGTGAAATCGGGCTAGCCGCGTTTCATTACTGCCTGCTAGTGGTTGGAGCCTACTTAAACAAGCTTTGGAATCTTTAGGTTTTTCTTTAAGTGACACGGGCTCTCCTCCTTTCAGAAAAGGAAGATCAAGGTTATTCAACTCAGCATATCAGGTACAGTTTTGCTAAGTGGGCAGTAGTGGGTTTTTGCAGCAATAACTTGGCTAGCTAGCAAATGTGAGTACCTCACCATGCTCCCCAACTCATGAAAACTACAAATTGCAGGTAAAGCAGCAACATAAGCCTTTCCATGAGAGTTAAGACTGCATCCACTACTACAATAAAACTCAAGAGACCGCAACAGAAGGTGCTGTGAGAAACTTAATGCTGCAAATTCTTATTTGACTCAGGTAGCGAGATGGTTATACGTTACTTATCAAATCACGTTACCACTGATTTGCAGACCGGTGCTTACTTACTGAATCACACTCTGTCTGAGCCCATTTCGTAACTGGTTTTTGTTCATTGTTGGATTCCATTCCTGTTTGTCCAGG